AGGCCAAGGTGGGTGGATCACGAGGTCAAGAAATCGAGACCATCCTGGTCAACATGGTGAAACCCCGTCTCTACTAAAAATACAAAAACTTGGCTGGGCATGGTAGCGCGTGCCTGTAATCCCAGCTACTAGGGAGGCTGAGGCAGGAGAATTGCCTGATCCCAGGAGGCGGAGGTTGCGGTGAGCCGAGATTGTGCCATTGCATTCCAGCCTGGGTAACAAGAGCGAAACTCCGTCGCAAAAATAAATAATAAATAAATAAAAAAGAAGAATCAACTAGAAATTTTAAAAAACTTGAACTCAGTATATGTTTTAAGTATATTGGACACACATGGATAAGTGAATTTAAAATTAGGTCAGTAGAAAATAACCAGACTTAAGCATAGATTAGAGAAAAATTTATATCCTTAAATGCATACAGCACTAAAATAAGAAAGGCAAGAAATTAATGACATGATTATCCATTCCAATAAGTTAGAAAAGAAGAAGTAAGCTTTACTGGAAGAAAGCAGCAAAGAAAGAACTATAAGGAAGAGAGCAGAAATAAATAAATTAGAATACAAACAAACCTATAAAGCTGAAAGCTTATTTTTAAAATTGATAAACCACTTGTAAAACTAATCAAGAAGAAAAGAGAAAACACTAATTAGTTAAATGAGTGGGGAAAAAAAAGTAATGCAGATCCTTATATGTCTAACAAAAAATTCAAATGTATTATGGATAATTTTATGCCAATAAATTAGAAGAATAAATGAAATGACAAAGTCTTAAAAAGCAAATTAACAAAACTGACCTTAAAAAATAAAACAATGTAAATAGTCTTATGATTTTAAACCTTTTCTCAAATAAATCCCCACACTCACATTGTTTTATCAGTAAACTCCACCAAACATTTAAAAAATAAATGAGGCTGATCTTCCGTATTCACTTCCCAAAAAAATAGAAGAAAAAATTTTCAACTCATTTTTTAAGGAAAAGCATAACTTTGATACCAATACCTCCGAAAATCATCTCAACATCTGCAGAAAAAGAATTTGAAACAATTCTATACTTACTCTTAATTTTTTATAGTCTTAGCAAATGGCTAATAGAGCTAACTTTATCTAATTAAAATATCTGTAAGAAACCTAGAGCAAATAATTAATTAATTTCAGGTACAGAACTGAAATTTCCCCACTGAGATCAGGCAATCACAAAAATTTTTACCACCACATATTGGGTCCTAGCTAATACTATAATGCAAGGAAAAACACAAACCATAAGTATTGAGAAAGAAGAAAGATACTTGATATGGTTTGGCTGTGTTCCTACCCAAATCTCATCTTGAATTGTAACAATCTCCACGTGTCAAGAATGGTGCCAGGTGGAGATAATTGAATCATGGTGGTGGTTTTCCCCATACTGTTCTCCTGGTAGTGAATAAGTCTCATAAGTTCTGATGGTTTTATAAAGGGGAGTTCCCCTGTACAAGTTCTCTTGCCTGCCGCCATGTAAGATGTAACTTTGCTCTTCCTTTGTCTTCCGCCATCATTGTGAAGCCTCTCCACATATGTGGAATTGTGAGTTAATTAAACTTCTTTCATTTATAAATTACCCAGTCTTGCATATGTCTTTATTAGCAGCATGAGAACAGACTAATACACCAGCCGTAATTTGCAGGTACATGACTACATATGTATATAGAAAATTCAAAAGGAAATTTTCAAAGTTTTAGAATTAGTAGCTGAATTTATCAAGTTCATTGGATATAAAATCAGTAAACCAACCAACTTTTTCATATTACAGACACAGAAACTAAGAAAGGTGCCCATATCCACACACTTTCCAAAACTAGCAAAAGGCTAACACTCAGCTCAGTGCTTCAAGTTTTGTTGTTGTTGTTGTTGTTGTTTTGAGATAGAGTCTCACTCCATCACCAGGCACCAGGCTGGAGTGCAATAGTGCGACCTCGGCTCACTGCAACCTCTGCCTTAAGCAATTCTCTTGCCTCAGCCTCCCGAGTAGCTAGGACTACAGGTGCGCACCACCATGCCCAGCTAATTTTTTTCTATTTTTAGTAGAGATGGGGTTTCACCATGTTGGCCAGATGGTCTTGATCTCTTGACCTAGTGATCCATCTGCCTCGGCTTCCCAAAGTGCTGAGATTACAGGCGTGAGCCATTGCGCCCGGCTATTGTTGTTGTTGTTGTTGGTTTTGATACATGCAAACTTGTAGATTCTGGTTACTCCCTAGTCAATCAGAAGCCAGTCCACACACTAGCCCCTGTATCTACTATGCATCAAGACATAAAATGTTGATGGCCACAGTGACCATCCATGGGAAATGAAGGGAATACTTGTGGGAGGCAAAGTGCAGTTTTCGGAAATGTGGAGCTGCAAGTAATCTAAGCTTTCAACTTCTGTCACAAGTTTAGGATCAAGAATCACATGCAGTGAACAGATTTATCTATAATGGAACCTAAAGACAGAATGAGGGAAAATGGTGGATGTTTCCAGGGCTTGTCACAGGAGAAGGAAGAATGAGTGGAAAAAGCTGAGTCTTTGGCCCCCTTCTCCTATTTATACAGCATGTTAAGTTTGAACTTCAGATATGACCTGCAAATGAGGTAAAGACACTAATAGGACTGAAAGTAGATGTTTATCACACAATTTGAAATCCATGTCCTGTTCTTCATCCACAGTGTCTACAACATACCATCAGTTAATATTTTCCATAAACTTTGAAGTTATCTTGTAAATACTGTAATTACATAAGTGCAATGGTATATTTATATGCTAATATTATTTTATTATATGTGAATATTTAAAGCTTTGTAGCACCCATTCAGCATTATTTTTTTCCCTCCTCCCCTTCCTTCTGTACTCATATCCTCCTCTTTCTCCACCTTCCCCTTCTCAAAACATGGAAATGGACAGAGCTTCCAAAGTCAACCTTGGAAAGATTCTGGATCCCTAAATAGCTATGTGAACTATCTGAGCATGTGGGTGGAATGTGAAGGGTGAGGGAAGGCTTGCCTGGTATGAGAGAACAGAGCCAAAAGGACTGCTTTGATATTTTGAGTATTACTCTAGTTTTAGCTCTAGTCTGGTATTGTCTCAAGACACTGGGGTTATGGCAGGAAGCTCAAAGCCTCCACTATTGTGGCCAACGCTTTTGCATATAGAACCTGCTGACTGCTGTCATGGGTGATGGCTCAGCCTGTATCCTAGAGAAGCAGAGGCTTGACGTAGGACTTCCTGCTGGCTGGATGTCTTCAGCCCGAGACACCTGCAGTGCTGGATTAACCAAGAAGCAAACTAAGCAGGTGCTTAGAATGCGACTAAATCGAACACCACCCCCATCATCCACTCCAAGAAAAGCAGAAAGGATTTTACATTTAATGAATGTACTAAGAATTTTAATTTTTCCATTCAAAGGAAAAAAAAAGAACTTACTTTCCTTTCAGCTTGCATTAAAGTTTTATTTCATTTTAAGTGACTTTATTTATTTATTTATTTATTCTTTTCTTTTCTTTGAGACAGTCTCCCTCTGTTGCCAGGCTGGAGTGCAGTGGTACAATCTCAGCTCACTGCACCCTCCGTCTCCTGGGTTCAAGCAATTCTCCTGCCTCAGCCTCCTGTGTAGCTGGGACTACAGGTGCACGCCACCACGCCCAGCTAATTTTTGTATTTTTAGTAGAGATGGGGTTTCACCATGTTGGCCAGGATAGTGTCGATCTCTTGACCTTGGGATCCGCCCGCCTCGGCCTCCCAAAGTGCTGGGATTACAGGCATGAGCCACTGTGCCCGGCCCTTAAGGGATTTTATTATGAATTAAAGTAGGAATGCATCATAGTGGTGGTGGTGGTAGGATTAAGTGCTCAGAGCCAGTAAAAGTTTTAACCTGGCCCCAGTAACCATTTCCTAAATTTTCCAGGATCCATCCTCACCCTTCCTGGGCTCTTGTTCTCTAGCGCATATCTTTCTTGTGTAACTTCTCTATTTCCTATTATATTTAGCCTAACATCATTAGTCCTACCTTTGCCAGGCTGTTGGTTTCCAGCTCCTAAATTTGGGCAGTCTAGTTATCATTTACTTTGTATAATATTTTTTTCGATATTACCCAATACAATTTTGCCTTTATAAAGCAACTCCTATAGATTCCTCTAACACATAAAACATGTCTATGATGCTTAACTTACCCTAGTACTGCCCCGAGATCTTCCACCAAAAATTCAAACATCTCTTTGAAGGAGGTAGGATTTTTTTTTTTTAACAAGTTCCTAGTGTGAACAGCATCTAGGCACCACTGGGTGGAGTGAAGAGGGATTTGAGGAAGGGAAAAAAGGGAGAAGTATCCTAGGCCTCCATTTAGAAATTTTAAGCCGGGCGCGGTGGCTCACACCTATAATCCCAGCACTTTGGGAGGCCGAGGCGGGTGGATCACGAGGTCAAGAGATCAAGACCATCATGGTCAACATGGTGAAACCCCGTCTCTACTAAAGATACAAAAAATTAGCTGGGCATGGTCACGCATGCCTGTAATCCCAGCTACTCAGGAGGCTGAGGCAGGAGAATTGCCTGAACCCAGGAGGCGGAGGTTGTGGTGAGCCAAGATTGCACCATTGCACTTCAGCCTGGGTAACAAGAGCGAAACTCTGTCTCAAAAAAAAAAAAAAGAAATTTTAATTTATGCCCTCAAATCAAAGCTCGTATTTAGCACTCCAGCATGTCCCTTCTACTTCTCTTGTTTCAGCTCCTGCTTGTTGTTCAGGAAAATTGGCAGATATGTTTCAGAGCATGCTTAAAGTTGTAAGATAGACAAAAGACAGATGACTGATAGCTTGATTACTTGGAAAGGGGGTACAGTAATCAGAAGGTAAAGGGAAGAAAGATTCCAGGACTTTATTTCTCATAAAATATATAAATAAATAGAATAGCTCTCTATTGAAATTCTAAGAGCCATATGTAGAGATTGAACCCATGGATAAATTCAAGTCCTCAGGCCCCTCTGCACTTACCTCTACCAGTTTGTTGGCATGTTCACGGAAAACCTGGGCATATTCTTTCACTTCCTTCTCATTTCCGCTCTTTGCAGCCTCAATTAGAACTAGCAAAGGGACATTGGTTTCCAAGAAAGAATCAGATATGTGATCCATCACTGCTTTCCGAAGCTACAGTTAAAACAAAAACAAAAAATGACATACAATTAAGAAATAGTAGAAATATCAACTTTTTCTAAACTATTTTGAGCTCTCATACCCATAGAGATAATATTCCTATTTTCTTTTTTAAATTGTCCCAGTGCTTCTACTATCAAAGGAAAACCAATGACTGACGGAAGCATGAGTTAAACGTATTATATGTCAACCTGAAAATTACAGAAATGGCCTGTTGCTCAATACGCTATGGTCCCTCTCCTGTTAAAGGTCTTCTCCCATCCTTCATGGACCCAAACTTTCAGGATGTTTTGAATCATGACACAGTTGAAGAATTCAAGGCAACAACCAACAAGTCAAGAGAACTTCGGATAAAGATCTAAACTTTGACGCCAACCCTGAAACTTAGCCGCTGTGCCATCTCCTGCCCATTCTAGACCCATTGTTTGTGTTCGATAGAAACAGAAACATGAAACATCTAACAATCTCAAAACCATTTGTGCCCAGGTGCTATGATGACATAGTTGCTATGTTCCAGAAATACTTATGATTATTCTTCAAGATAAATGAGAATAAACAAGCCCATATCTTCTAACAATGCATAATTATACATCATTCCACATTGTTAAAATAGAAAGCAGGGCAGCTGCATGAAAATAAAATGAAACTGTCCCTGAAAAATCACCTTGGTGCTGTTTTGTTCATAATTATCTGAATGTATATGGGATGCACATAAAAATAAACAAAAGAGAAGATGTTAAACACGCTGCATGTTTTCTAAACAAATATGCCTCTCCAGGAGCATTCAAGTGAATTTCTTGATAGAATGAGACACACACATTCATTATTGGTCAGAACAAGAATTATGAACAAATCTCAATTCCTTTTTTCACTTATTACCATAAGGTAAAGATGAAAGTATGTATAACTCAGTTTGGTTTAACTCTGAATTGTGTCTGACATTTTACCATATCAAATGTAATAAAGTCTACGTAAAGTTAACATCATCCACATATTCATTTGACAAAATGTATTAAATTACTGCCTGGGAATAATGTTGGTTATTGGTGAGCTCATGGATAATATGTCATTTACTTAGCTAAAATGTTTGCATATTGTATAATGTTATTCCTACTATAATACTATGAGATAGGGATGATTCTTATTCTAGTTCTTGGAATGAAGAAGCTGAGACTTTAAAAAGTAAAATAACTTGTCTGCAGTCATAAATTAACAAGTGGCGGTGCCTACGGTAAGATAGGTCTGAAGAAGATACTACAGCAAACACTTGAAACTGACCTGCTGTGGCTCTTTCAGAACAGGACCCATATGGAGGAAAAACTATTTAGAGTGGAGTCAAAATTGAACTTGACAGGGACAACAGAGATAAAAGAAAGAGAAGGTTGAGATAAAGTAGGGGGGATAAGAAGAGTCAGGTTATCTCAACAATCAGACAAGCATATTTTTTAATACCATGCAAAAATAACAGAAGTGAGAGCTCTGGGAAGCTTGAAAAGCTATCTGCATCAAGCCTCTTTCTAAGCCTTCAGGAAGATAATGTTCACAAAAATGAGCAACTTAAAATTATCAAGGTCAAATCTCATCTAAAGTTATTATAAGAAAAATAAGATTAAGAAACATAATATCATCCCTAGGCCCACTGAAAGCATGCCAGAAAGATATGCTTATAAAATAGATTAAAATTGTAACCCACCATTTCAAATAAATTTAAAACATCACCAAAATGATACAGAATATGAAAGAACATAATAAATTAGAATAAGGAAAAACTAAAGAATTAGGTCATGAAACTCAAGAAAGAATTATAAATAAAAGAAAATCATTTGAAACGGCTAAGAATTAAAAAACATCACATGCCTTAAACAAATAAAATGAGGAAAATTTTTAAATTAAAAAAAATTTAAGCTAAGAAACCATTTTTTAAAATGTGACAAATATTGAAGATAGGCAAAGAAAAGTTAAGACAGGGCTACCAGGGGTTCCACGAAAAAGAAAATCAAAACTAGAAAACAAAACAAATACAGAATGAAACAGAATGAATTGTAAGCAAAAAAACAGAATGAATTGTAAGCAACAAAAACTTTCCTGAATATATTAAACTATATTCTAATACTGTATATTCTTAATTGCTGATAAAGTGGGTTTTTAATGTTCTCACCACAAAAATAAATATGTAAGGTGATGAATATGTTAATTTAATCATTCATAATATATACTCCACAAACATATATATGTTAATTAAAAATTAAAATTAAACAAATAACCTACAATCTGAAAGAATGTATCATGTACTTGAGAAGACTGACCCACAATTATCAAGTGAAATTAGTGAATAGTCCAGTGAAATTAATTAATTCTAAAGAAAAATGAGGAAAAAAACTTCATTTCAGCAAATATAGCGTATGATACATACAGGAACAAATAGATTGTTGCCAGACTTTTTAATAGTGAAGATTTATGCCAAAGAAAAATATTGTCTATAAGATACTCAAGACAAGAGAATGTAAACTAAGAATTTTATTACCAGCAAAACTGACTTTCAAGGATATAAGGATTAGAGAAAATCTGATAAAAATGCAAGAACTCAGAATATTGTTTCATGAGCTTTTCCTAGGAAATCTGTCAAAGAATGAGTTTTACAAATTAAGATAACTAGAAAAATATTGACATAAGAAGTGATAGAATATAGTATAAAATGTTTGTATACTTCGACAAAAAAGACATATTACAACATTGTAAAATGGGGAGGAGAAACAGAATAGAAAATACCAAAATATTAAAGAAAATTTCTGTAATGCTAGATCTGAATTAGAAATGTCAGTAGGAACACAAGGGATTTGATTCAGCTTTATTGAGGTATAATTCACAAATAAAATTGTGTATTATTTAAAGTGTATCACACAATGATAAACAAACATTTTTAGAAAAATATATTATGAAATGATTATCACAATTGAGTTAATTAGCATATGCATTCCCTTATTTAGCTATCTTTTTCTTCTTTACCAGTGAGAACACCTAAGATCTAGTCTCTTAGCACATTTCAAGCATACAGCACAGTGTTTTTGATAGTCATCATGCTGTATATTAGATTCTCATAACTTATTCATTGTATAACTTAAAGTTTGCACCCTTTGACCAACATTTCCCATTTCACCACCCTCACCTCCACCCCTTGAAATGACTGGTTTACTTTTTGTTTCTGTGAGTTCCACCTCTTGTTTGTTTTAGGTTCCATATATAAGTGACGCCATACAGTATTTGTCTTTCTCTGCCTGGCTTATTTCACTAAGCACAATGCCCTTCAAGTCCTTCCATGTTGTCACATATAAGAAAATTTCTACTTTTATATGGTTAATAATTCCATTGTGCATATATCTGTTTATTTGTCTATCACATTTTTTATCCATTTATCTGTCAGTGGACGCTTGGTTGATTCCATGTCTTGGTTCTTGTAAATAATGCTGCAATAAATATGAGGTGCAGACAGCTCTCTGAAATATTGATTTATTTCCATCAGATTCCACCCAGAAATGGGATTGTTAGATAATATGGTATTTCTAGTTTTAATTTTTTGAGGCATCACCATACTGTTTTCTATTTTGTACTAATTTACATTCCTACAAACAATGTTCAAAGCTTTCCTTTTCTCCATATCCTTGCCAACGTTTGAATACATGAGATTTTAAATTGAAAACATACACACATATGCAAACACTCTCTCAGTTCTGTCTAATGAAAAAGCCTGAGAATAATGGCTAGCCTAGTGGTGATGAACAACTCAAAACACAGTTTTATGCTACAACAACAAAAAAATAAAAATAAAAAAATAAAATAAAATAGAAAAACAGAGTTTCATGGAGAAAGGGCTGATTCCAGGCACCCTGAGGCTGGAAGTATACAAATAAGCTTGAAATATCTTGTCATGCCAGGTAACAGTGAACTATTGAAGACTCCTAGAGGCATGCCGAAATAACTCAGGAGGCTCCCACTGGCCAAAGATAGAGACACTTTGAGTTGAAGATGGTAGACATTCCCTGCCTCCCAATTAACTTAGGCCCTTGCATACATGGTGGAGAACAGCCCCATGTTCTGTTACTGACTCAGTATTGTAATTATTAAGAAATGCAATTCTATTGTTTGGAGCCTTTGTACATGTTAAAGTTTATTAGCAACAGTAGTTGGCCTGCCCTAATTTAAATTGGAAATAGACTTTTCATTTTCCTGCAACCTCTGCCTTCTTTCAACCTGCCTTTCCTTACTTAGATCCTTTCTACTTGAAGTGTAGGCCACTGGCCAGTACCACTGCTATTTCCTGGGAGCTTATTAGAAATGCAAAACTAAGGCTCCATCCAGATCTGCTTTTAACCAGAATCTACATTTTAATAAGACGCCTAGGTGATTTCTCCACAGTATAAAGTTTGAGGTTTGCCTCCCTAGAAGACCTATTGTATTAGTCTCAAGCATTAGACTCAAGCATTAGATTTTTAGCCTCAAGCATTAGAAATTAATTCTAGCTAATTTAAGCAGAAAGATTGACCTGTCAGTTCACAAAATGGACAGAATTCAGAAATGTTAAGACACCCTATGTCTATGTCAATAGCTTTTGATTCAAAATATTAGGAAGACCTGATTTTCTTCTGGGTGAAACAGAGACAAGAACTCTAGGTCATATGTCCTCACCTAGTTGCAAGAGTAAAGGAGGTAGCTGCTGGGAGGAAAGTATTCTTTGAAAACAAGTGTTTTAGCCATTTAAGCTTCTTGTATGGAGATTCATAACATGAGGAATTCCCTGAACACAGAAAAGGAACTCAGATACTGACCTGAAAACAAAAAAAGGGACCAGCAAAAAAAAAGATCTGGCAGAAAACTAATTCAGGGATTCAAGCATGAGTGGAAGTTGAAAATAAATATAGATACATTTATTAGAAATAATTAAAAGCTGAAGAATTGTTTATAAGGAACAAGATCAAAAGCTATGAACTACGACAGGA